CTCCACCCTGCATACCACCAGTTTAAGACCCCATCTTCCGGGACTCCTTTCTCTTTTTGAGGGAGATGCACAGACAGGGCAGGTTGACAGTGACAGCAGTGTTGGTGCTGTGCTGTCGTGTCGTTGTCCTCCACTCCATTACTGTTAAATTTACGTGTGTTACGTGTGTATGTTTTTTCCTCTGCTGTCCTGTTCCAGGTACCGCACTCCCCTCTGACTGGTCAAACACACCTGCAGTGGTTTAGCAATGAGGCCGATAGCTTTAAAACTACTATGGGCCAAACCACCAGATAGAGTTGTGTTGCTGTCAGGTGTGAATCAGAGCTGTGTGGTGCTCGTCGTGTTATCAGTGGAGGGACAGTGTTATTCATATGTATATATTGTCTCAGTGGTTTGTCTAGCTTAAATGGTTTTTTCATTTCCTTTCTTTTTAGGAAGTTGTTTTGTGTTAACATTGACCTCACTTATGTTTAAATAAATAGTTTAATAGTAAACTCCTTTCCTTCTTTAAACACCCGGGTAATTATTAATTGTTGCGTCTCTCTGTCTCTGGACCTCACAACTGAGGTCGTAATGGACTGACTGTCGTGTAATACACTAAAACTTCTGGATCCCACTGTATTGCTACTAAACTGTATTGATAAATTATTATAACTTAATGAAACACACATCTGTCAGACTGTCAAATTTACTTTATTTGTAACTCTGTAAAAATGAAGAGCATTAATGAGCAGTATGCAGGAACAGGGTGTGCTGATGGAGCTGGGAAGAGAGAAAAATAAAGAAAATGAAAGATTCTGCTTCAAATCAAGTTGCAGCTCTGACAGCTCTCTAGACCAGAAAGATGATTTTGCATGATGTGTCACCCTCATTACTTGTAAGCAGTAAGTAAATCCGTTACTGAGGGACTTGTGCAGAGTACAGGGAGTTTCTCATACAGGTGTGAAAATGTTTCTTACTGTAAATGCTGTAGTGTGATTGTTGAGTGATGATTTTTTTAGTTTGTCCCATCTGCTAACATTGGCTGTATTACCTATACTGCAGTCAGCCACCAGAGGGTGACTGATCCTTATGGTTGATGGTCTGGAGCCTGTGACATAAATTCTCAGATGCAAATGTGCAGCATGCAGTTCTGCCCTGTTTCAGTATGTCAGTATTACTTGAGTTTAAACACCATCTAGTGGTGACATGTCATATTTTCTGGTTAAAATGTTCTCCTGACCCCTGAACCTGTGCTTATTGGGCCATGATTGACTTCCAAACTGATGTCACAGAATCATGTGAACACATCTCATCACAGAGAAACTCACAAGATGGATGTCAAAACAGCAAAACACATGTTTTCTTTAATGTATGGTTTACATTTATGTAGCAACTGAGAATGTGATTTGATTGTGGGGAAAATGATTATTATTACTGTAGTTTTTAAATGTTTTGTTTGATGCAGTGTGATGCCTTTAAGGCAGCTTCTCTGCTAGATAAAATACACTTGTAGTCGCCTTATTTATTGTCATTCATAATCTTTAAAAACAGTGTTGAAATTGTAGGTCTTCTTTGTTTGTTTGTTTTTAATCTTTATTTAAAAGATTTATGCTAAGCTAAACATGGCCTGGCTCCAGCTTCAAATGTAGCATATAGATGTGACAGTAACAACCTTAAAGTAATACAACAGTATTAACACAACTGTAACAGTGAATTATAGGTATAGGTACTTTTTAAGCTCTTATTCTTTTAGGATTAATGACATATTAAATATTACCACCTGACTACATCATGATGATATTAGATATTTTTTACTTATTGTGAGTGCAAACATCATCTGCTGTAAATCTTAATGTGGTTATGATGGTTAGACCAGTTTTATAAAAGTGAATATCAATATATATGTGAGACTCACAAGAACTTTAACAATGATAAAATGACTCTTCAATAACAACAGACAAAAGCCTTTTCAAAAGATCAAAAATGGGTAAAGAGGTTAATATCCAATAAACAGAAACAAGCCTACAGGCAGTAATCGTAAGACAAGGAAACTCTTGCATGAATGATAATGACACACATGACATGCCTCATTCCATAATCACTAACTAAGCGCTCCCTTACAATCTGGCGCTCTATTTAAACTGCACAATTTCCCAGCTCTCCCTCTGCTCTGTCAATGCCGCTGTTGCCCTGCATCTGTATTGCTGCTGCTGCTGCTGCTCTGTAAGCCCCCCCACCACCCCAGCATCCACCTGTGGGCTCTGACTGGGGTTTAAAGTATTTGCTCATCACTCCCCAATATCTCTATGTAAACATATCTGCGGGCAATGATGAGGTCGGAGCCTAGACGCCAGAATCTAAATATGCTATACTGCTTTAATAAACATTTCAAACGCGATTTGGCTGACTGAACTCTAGGAATGATTGAAATTGAGTATACATACTGTATCCATGGAGCCCAGAGGATGAATCAGAATGACTTTGGTGTTCCAGTTTCACCAGCAGCTCAACGTTTTCACTGATCCAGGGAAATCTCTCAACATCTACTGAATGGGTTACTCAGTGCAGACATTCATGGTATCCTCATGACTTTGGTGATCCTCTGACCATCACCATGTCAAACATTCACCAAATACCTGCAGGATTTGTTGTGCTCAAGTTTACAACCTCACAGAGCTCCTAGCATGGCTGTAGACTCTTGTTAAACTTAGACAGACAGCCTTTATTTGTCATTTGGATTTGCATCAAAATGAAATTACGTTACAATGGCACATAGCACAACAGGAATAGAGAAGAGGCAGTATGCACAATCAAAAGAAAAAGATATGCAAATAGATGTAGATAATATATATTGCACAGTTTTAGTTGCCTATGTTAAATAACTTTTGTATAGATCTATCTATAAAGCAAGAAATCTCTGTCTGTGTGTGTGTGTGTGTGTGTGTGTGTGTGTGTGGCTTAAATATCTCTCCAGATCAGGATCAGACTGACCTCAGAGTTTCAACATGGCTGCTGTGTGGTTTAAGGGTGTGCAACACCGGCTTTGTTTGGACTATAAAGATACCGTTAATAAATTATTATTTCATAAATTGTTTCCTAATTCCGCTAGCATTGTCAACGACAGCCACCGTAGCCACGTGCGCACCAGAGCCAATCACTGCAGAGCCCAAACATCCTGGAAAGTGAAAGTAAGAGTGAGAGACCTGTGCAGTTATCAGCCCTTGCTCCGAGCCGTCGGCTTATCCGTTCACACTATTTTGGTAGTTTCAAAACAATTATTTGATGTGGAAACCCTTACTGCCATTGCTCTCTCTCTCTCTCTCTCTCTCTCTCTCTCTCTCTCTCTCTCTCTCTCTCTCTGTATGCTAGCCTATATTACAGGGCTAAATAATATGTCCTGCCCAGTTCATTTACTAGGCTATGCTACAAGTTAGTTTGTTTATGCTGCCAGGTTTCATCCCATTTCAGATGTAGTTCACTTTCTTCTTTCAGAATTTATATGCGCTGACCATGAGGTGTGGTACTTTCACATTAGTGGAATGGGGTTCATCTCCCTACAGTGTCCTTGCTAGAAGCCAAATTGTATGAAAACACAATAGTTATCAATCTACACATTTCACAACAAACCTAAATGTCCCTGACGTCCCACCTTCAAACACAACCTCATTTGGCCATCCATTAAAAAGCTACTTAACCTCCCATTTGCTATAGCAATACATACTTCCTACGGGCACTGCACTAGTAATACAAATAAGAAAAATGCGATAAATATATCTTTTGTATGAAAGACAGATAAAATAACGCAATATAAAGATAATAATAAAGATAAATATAAGATGGCTAAGTCCTGAGTAGGTGTGTGGGTTCAGCAGTCTTATGGCATGTGGAAAGAAGCTGTTGTTGAGTCTGGCTGTTCTGCTCCGATTTTTTAAGATGTAGTGAGAATAGTGTTATGTTACTAGTAGAAGTGATGGTGCTCAGTAAAACACATTAATCACAACAAAGTATGTTATTCATACAAAAGCTTTTTATTACAAAAATAAATAAAATTAAATGAAATCTCAATTTAACTGCTTTTGTCATGTTCTGCAGCAGCAGCACCAGAAGCACCTCGTCCAGCAGCAGCATTCTCATCAGTCGAGCTTTCAGCACCATTCCTCCTCTTTCGTGGACTATTTTCCTCAGGTTGATTTTGTCCTGACACGTTGAGCAGAACATCTAGAACATTTCCTTCAGCTGGGTCTTCATTTACATTCGGTGGGTCTTGTGGAGTCTGGTTACGCTTTTTATCTGGAATTAAAGAGACATTTTTCATGCCCTGATGATACAAACAACCCCAGCAGTGTAGTGCTAGTCCGTATACAATGTCTAAAAGTTCAGATACTGCACTCTGACTCTTTAAAGAATTGGGATGTTTGGAGAAACTGCAGTGTGTGTTCACTCAGCTTTCTTATCCACTTGAACCAGTTTGTTTGATAAAAAGTTAATGAAGTTTGATTATTATTTACAGTCCATAGCTTACAGGAATTAGTCTGGTAACACACAGGTACAGGCTGTGGGTGGAGAAGGAAGCAGATCCTTTACTTAAGTAAAAGTAATAATACCACAGTTTGAAAATACTCCACATACCAGTACAGTGGGGGGTACAACAGAGGCCTGTCTGCTGAAAAAATCCTAGAGGAAAGCTTCAGAGCTTCTCTGCTCTGCTGTTTTCTGAAATTCTGTGTGTGTGTGTGTGTGTGTGTGTGTGTGTGTGTGTGTGTGTGTGTGTGTGTGTGTGTGTGGTTTGCTTGCAAATAAGTGGGGAAGGTCAGCCCCGACACAGAGAGCAGAGCTTCAACATGATAATGAATTACACCAAAGCGTAAAAAGTACCAAAAACCTACAGATGAAAGTGCTATGGCTCTAGATACTACGGCCTTTAATCATTTATCCCCAGGACCAGTTAACTGCAATACCAGGTTGCTGTACCATCCCTACTCATTAGGGCCCTCCACTAGCAAGTCTTCCTCACTTACCCTGAGCTGGAAAGCCCTGATCAGGTTGGTCTTCTTGCAGGTCTTCCTCATTGCCATCAGCTGGCACAGGCAAAGAGGGGTCTGCACCCTCTGCTGGTGCACCTGGATAAGAAATAAGCAAACATGGGTTCAACTCTTACCTGTGGCCCTTTGGTGCATCTCATCCTCTCTCTCTCCCCTTTTCTTATCCTTCTTGACCTGTCCTATCTAAAAAAGGCAAACACCCCCCAAAAGACTTTGTGCAGTCATATCTCAAAATATCTCAGTTTAAACTACTGTAGTTCTTTAACTCCTGTTTTTGCCTCCCTTCCAGCACCAGTTCTGATCCCAGTTATGATTCATACTGTTGATTCTTACTTTATTTATATAGTCAGTCAGTGGTTGTAATAATATAGGCTTTTCATTCAAACAAAATGCTTCACACCTTAAAAACAACCCCATACACACAAAATAATAACTGTAATCAATAAAACACTCAATGATAACAGCACCCACAATGAAACAAGGAAACTCTATCTCCTCAATTTACAGAGAGGAAACACAGGAGGACGGATTAGAAAGAGATACAAACTCAAAACAAGACAATGATTTTGCAAGAAATGTGTAAATAGATAAATAAATAAATAAATAAAATTCAATTAAATCTCCATTTAACTGCTTTTGTCATGTTCTGCATCAGCACCACCAGAAGCACCTCCTCCACCAGTAGCAGCATCCTCATCAGTCGAGCTTTCAGCACCATTCCTCCTCATTAGTGGACTATTTTCCTCAGGTTGATTTTGTCCTGACGCGTTGAGCAGATCAAGAACATTTCCTTCAGCTGGGTCTTCATTTGCATTTGGTGGGTCTTGTAGATTCTGAATACACCTTTTATCTGGAATTAAGGAGAATTTTTTTCATGCCATGATGATACAAACAACCCCAGCAGTGTAGTGCTAGTCTGTATACGATGCCTAAAAGTTCAGATACTGCACTCTGAATCTTTAAAGAATTGGGATGTTCAGAGAAACTGCAGTGTGTGTTCACTCAGCTTTCTTATCCACTTGAACCAGTTTGTTTGATAAAAAGTTAATGAAGTTTGATTATTATTTACAGTCCATAGCTTACAGGAATTAGTCTGGTAACACACAGGTACAGGCTGTGGGTGGAGAAGGAAGCAGATCCTTTACTTAAGTAAAAGTAATAATACCACAGTTTGAAAATACTCCACATACCAGTACAGTGGGGGTACAACAGAGGCCTGTCTGCTGAAAAAAATCCTAGAGGAAAGCTTCAGAGCTTCTCTGCTCTGCTGTTTTCTGATTATCCTTTGTGTGTGTGTGTGTGTGTGTGTGTGTGTGTGTGTTTGCTTGCTTACAACTAAGTGGGGAAGGTCAGCCCCGACACAGAGAGCAGAGCTTCATCATGATAATGAATTACACCAAAGCGTAAAAAGTACCAAAAACCTACAGATGAAAGTGCTATGGCTCTAGATACTACGGCCTTTAATCATTGATCCCCAGGACCAGTTAACTGCAATACCAGGTTGCTGTACCATCCCTACTCATTAGATCCCTCCACTAGCAAGTCTTCCTCACTTACCCTGAGCTAGAAGGCCCTGATCAGGTTGGTCTTCTTGCAGGTCTTCCTCATTGCCATCAGCTGGCACAGGCAAAGGGGGGTCTGCACCCTCTGCTGGTGCACCTGGATAAGAAATAAGAAAACATGGGTTCTGTTTGTGTTCTATTTGGTGTTATATTTCATGTATTTTTTGGGACGTTGTTGCAATATATTTTGTCATTGTAAAATGTAAAACTGCATATAAAGGAGAAAAGAAGATTACTGACTGATGTAGATTCTGGTTGCCATTAAAGTTGATCAAGATAAGTACAGAGATTTGTGTTATTTTTAATCTAAAATGTAGTTGAATAGTTGATAACTACAAGTCCTTGTAGTGCAACATGACTCCATCATCCATATAGACAAATTACTAAATTAGTTTGCATGTTCTTAACTACAACATAGAGTATGTGCTGCATCAGACCTGTGGCCTTTGCTGCATGTCATCCCCCTCCCCCCTTAAAACTAACATCACTCACGTCTTCTGTAGAGGCACACACATATGATGGCGATGAGGATGAGGATGAGGATGCCAATTACCAAACCTGCAATTTCTCCATTAGTCCAATCATGTTTACTTTGCGTGTCTTTACCTGTAAATGAGGGGAAATTGCAGATAATAAATTATTTGATATTCTGCACTGACACTACTGTGTTTGCTTGTTACATAGTACCTTAAGGATACTCAAATCTTTCAGCTTCCAAAATCTTCAGGAACTAATTTATTACAAGAATCAATTAACTGAAACTGACTATGACTCATTTAGAGCAAGCTTCATTATTGTTGGAAATTATATTGTTTCAATTAAATATAATAACCAGTTTTACATTGTGCTTTGAGGCCTCATTAACATATATTAATGATCTGCTGCTCTCACCAGAATCATTGATCTCTGCAGTTTCTTTAATCGTCTGGTTGGTGCGAGGGTTGAAGATGATGCAGGTTACAGACTGGAACTCCTTCACACTGACAGAGCTTGTGACTGAGAAGGTTTTCTCTGTTGGATCCTGCTGCAGGGACGTCTCAGCATCCTGCAGGTCCAGCTGTGCAGTGCTGGATTTGTTTCGACCCGTCCATGACACTTTAGGTCCAGGGTATCCTCCATGTGCTGTGCAGGTTGCTCTGTTAGCTGTGTTGTTAACAGTCAGGACTAGATGTTGGTAGGGAGCTGTGAGAGTGACAGAAAGAACAACTGTTGACACACTGGAGACATTCACAGCACTTTGATATGAGGAGATTTTTATTTTGGTTTGGAATAAAGAAGCTACTGTACTCACCTGAAACCTGCAGTGTGGATTTGCAAAGTCGTTCAGACAGTTGGGTGAGGTTTTTCTCATCCGTTAAACGTACATAGACCCAGAATGTTTTGTTGTCATCTCCAACAGTAACATTGTCAAGTCTAATGGAAATATTTCCCGAACTAAACTCAGTACTGAAGACATGGCATCTGTTCTTGTATTCGTCAGCTATTAATGGTGCTTGATTGATGCGCCAGTGAAAAATTTTTTGTCGGACTGGTCTTCCCAGAAAAACCATCTGGGTCTCAGTGAAGGATCTGGTAGAGAGCAGGGGATCAGGACGGAGCCTCCAACGGTGCCCAGAGTTATGGGTGCTAGAAAAGGAAAAGGAAATGAGGAGAAATGGTGGATGGATCAGAAAAGGTCAAAGGCAGTGATAAAAACAATTATGTGGCTGTGAACCAGAATGTGTAATAGTTCACCAGTGTCACACCAAGTTACACTGTTGCAGGTTTACTCTCAGAGGCTGGATTTTATGAGAAACAACACATCTCTTTTCTCACTACAGATGAAGTTCAGTGCTGGGAATTACTTATTACTTATCCACCTGAGAAACTGACACCTGAGAAAGTGTAGGTGTGTGTGCGAATATCCAAATCCCAAAAATACCTTCCCATCGAACGAATACCCGAATAGTCAAATATTCGGGCCCAGCCCTAAAAACATTTGTACAAAATAATCTGTGAAATAATCTGCTCCTCTGTCTCCTCCCAGTGCTTCTAATGGCATTTGTTAGAATCCACCATGCCTGAGCCAAAACAACCAATCAGAGCCAAGAAAGAAAGTTTCCTGTCTCATTCATATATATTTAGACTGTTTTTCTGCTATCGATCTTCATCAGTTAACTTCAATAATTTCTTCATCGAAGCCATCAGCCTGTCTATTAGACCCGATCCCAACTAGGCTGCTTAAAGAAGTTGTTCCCTTAATTGGCACTTTTTTACTGGATATGATTAATCTTTCTTTATTATCAGGATATGTACCACAGTCCTTTGAAGTAGCTGTAATTAAACCCCCTTCTTAAAAAGTCCACTCTTGACCCAGGGGTTTTAGCCAACTATAGACCGATTTCTAACCTCCCCTTCCTCTCTAAGATTCTGGAGAAAGTAGTCGCCAAAGAGTTGTGTGACTTTCTACATAACAATAGTTTATTTGAGAATTTTCAGTCAGGATTTAGAGTTCATCATAGCACAAAGACAGCTCTGGTTAAAGTTAATAATGACCTTCTGATTGCTTCTGACAATGGACTTGTCTCTGTACTTGTATTATTAGATCTTAGTGCTGCATTTGACACCATTGACCATAATATTCTTTTACAGAGACTTGAGCATCAAATTGGCATTAAAGGAACCACACTAAGCTGGGTTAAGTCATATTTATCAGATCGCTCGCAGTTTGTACATGTTAACGATGAATCTTCAATAAATACTACAGTTAGTCATGGAGTTCCACAAGGTTCTGTACTTGGACCAATACTATTTACTTTATATATGCTCCCTTTTGGCAACATTATTAGGAATCACTCCATTAACTTTCACTGTTATGCAGATGTTACGCAGTTATATCTATAAATCAAGCCCAATGAAATTAATCAATTATCTAAATTACAAACATGTCTTAAGGACATAAAATCCTGAATGACCTGCAATTTCCTGATGTTAAACTCAGAAAAAAACGAAATTCTTGTTCTTGGCCCCAAAACCTTAGAGACTCACTGTCTAAAGATATAGTTACTCTAGATGGCATTAACTTGGCCTCTAGCACCACTGTCAGGAATCTTGGAGTTATCTTTGATCAGGATTTGTCATTTAACTCCCACATAAAGCAGACCTCTAGGACTGCCTTCTTTCATTTACGTAGTATTAGAAAAATTAGACACATACTATCCCAGACAGATGCAGAAAAACTAATCCATGCATTTGTTACTTCAAGGCTGGATTACTGCAACTCTTTATTATCAGGTTGCCCCAATAAGTCCATTAAAACGCTCCAATTAATTTAGAACGCTGCAGCATGAGTACTGACAGGAACTAGAAAAAGAGATCACATCTCTCCTGTACTAGCTTCTCTGCATTGGCTCCCTGTAAAATGTAGAATAGAATTTAAAATCCTCCTCCTCACCTATAAAGCTCTTCATGGTCAAGCCCCTTCATATCTTAAAGAGCTCATAGTACCCTATTACCCCACTAGAACATTACGTTCTCTGAATGCTGGGCTACTTGTGGTTCCTATAGTCTCTAAAAGTAGAACAGGAGCCAGAGCCTTCAGTTACCAAGCTCCTCTCCTGTGGAACCAGCTTCCAGTTGTGGTTCGGGAGGCAGACACCCTCACCACATTCAAGAGTAGGCTTAAGACATTCCTCTTTGATAAAGCTTATAGTTAGGGCTGGATCAGGTGAGTCCTGAACCATCCCTTAGTTATGCTGTTATAGGCCTAGACTATCAGGGGATTTCCCATGGTGCACTGAGCTCCTCCCTTCCTCTCTCTTTCTGCACTCATTCATGTCCCATTTATGCATGTTACTAACTTCACTTCTTCCCCGGAGTTCTTGTGCTTTCTCTTCTCGCAGGTTCTTGTCGATCCTGGTGGAGCCTCCTGCCATGGTCCTGCTAGATTGCCATTGCCAATACTGTTGTTGCTGTGCACCTGTCTGTCTGCCTCTCTCTCTCTCTCTCTCTCTCTCTCTCTCTCTCTCTCTCTCTCTCTCTCTCTCACCCCAACTGGTCGAGACAGACGACCACCCACCTAGAGCGGGAGGATCTGTCCTAGGTTTCTGCCTTTTAACAGGCAGTTTTTCCTTGCCCTTGTCGCCAAGTGCTTGCTCATGGTGGTACTGTTGGGTCTCTGTAATTAATGTTTTAAAGAGTTCGGTCTAGACCTGCTCTATTTGAAAAGTGTCCAGAGATAACTTCTGTTATGAATTGGCGCTATACAAATAAAATTGAATTGAATTGAATTGAATTCTCAAGTCGTCAGTTTTTTATAGTTTAGTGTGGTGTGTAATAAATACTTCTGGATAAGACACCAGATCATATTATAATATGAAACAGACACTATGTTTAAATTAATACATTAATAAATGTGTATATAACCACAAGGTGTAAATACAATACGGATGAGATAGAAATATCATGGTGATATTCTGAAATAGAAATTAAAATCAATGTGTGAATATTTCCCTAACTATGCAAATGAGTGATCGATTGGACCACACGGGCCAGCCATCGTTCCCCATGTGTGCCTAACAGACAAGCTACTGTAGCTCAAACTGCTGAAAGGGTTAATGCTGGTTCTGATAGAAAGGGGTCAGAACACACAGTGCATCCCAGTCTGTTGTCTATGGGGCTGATCTCTGTACACTTGTTATGTAATGCTGTTATCATTTGAGTTTTTTGTGTTATTTTTGGTGTCTTCAGGACGTCTTTGAAAATGAGATGCTACATCTCAAGGGACTATCCTTTCAATAAATTCAAAATGCAGATACACATCCATGCAACATTAGTTAGTGGGTGCACTCTGATTTCATCTACTACTGCTGATTACATTTCATTGTACAAACTAACACAATTGATGTTTCACAAGTTTGAATCATTTTTGTCCACTCTAGTTTCAGCACTGGCGACCTGCAATGGCCAGACAAGAATGTGTGTACGAGGCTCTGCTAGCTGTGTATTCTGACTATTAAACTCAGGACTATTTAACCATTAAGTCATTAAATGAGTGGACTAATGTTTTATGAAACACTTACCAACAACAAGCAAAATGTTGAATATTTGACTTGGCTGAAGACGTGGAAAGGCACAGGTGTAGCTTCCTCTGTCAGCCAACTCTGTATTTCTGATGGTTATGGCAGCATTGCCACGACTCAGTTCGTATTGAAAGAACGAGACGTGACCTTTGAACTGTTCATCTTGACCTGGAAGGCCGTTATTGTAATGAATGCCTGCATCATACAGGAAGACGCTCTTCTGACCATCTTTCTTCCAGTCAAACCGCTGTGACTCAATGTTGATGTTGAGGAAACAGGGTAGAGTAACATCACTCCCTTCTTTCACCTCCACTCTGATGACATCTGGTCCTTAAAGGATGGAGGATAAAAACACATTTTAATCTACATACAAAGTCATCAGTTTACTTAATAGTCTCCAGAGTAATGTTGTATTAAACCAATGATTAACAATTACTCCATTAGATTAGTTAGTTTGTTATTATATAATTACCATATTATCACATTATTGCAATAAATTCAGATCACTTCAATAATCTTTGTTACCATTATTTACTTACAGTATTA